CATCTTGTTTAAATGACCCACCATCCCCTACCGCCTCAACCCTTCACTCCTAACCCCTACTCCAACCACCCCACTCTACCTACAGGCCCATTTCTCATACAACTACCCCCAACAATCTCCACATCCCTAAAAAATGAGGCAAGTGTGTCATTATTCTCTGTAAACATCATTTGATTCGCCCTCTTACATGTTCCATCTTAAATCTTCATGTTTCCCTCGCTCTTAAAAAATATGACTTAAAAGCCCAACAGTGACTATTATACATCATAGCTCATATTGAACTCTTTTCCAAGCAATTCTGGAACTAACAACTCATAAGATCTTAAGTTTATACATACATGCATTTATAATTTAATTAAATGCAGATTACAAGCGTGTAAGTATGTTAAATAAAAATTTTTTAGTTAGAAAAACATATAAAGATAAAATTGTAACATTCAGCTTTACTTTATCGGGATTGAACTGTGCTTATATAAAGTAGATATGTTTGTGTTTTTACCTAAACGTGCCAATTCGAAAGAAAAAAATTTTTTATACGTTTATTGCTAATATTGGGATGTTGAATTGGTTAATTTTCCGCCTCAACCCTCCCTCTACATCCCCACCCCTTACCCATCCCCTACCGCCTCAACCCTTCACTCCTAACCCCTACTCCAACCACCCCACTCTACCTACAGGCTTTTCTATTTTTTATTAAAGTGATGATGGGGCATGATTGTCTTGTTGGCAATCCATGACGTGGAAGGACGCGACCCTCTTTTGAATAAATGAATTCCCTAATGATTATTGATATTATTATTGTTATCATTTTCTAAAAAAATTAACTGATTAACAATTCATATTCCTGCCAATAATTTAAAGTACTCTTTTCTGCGAGGGAATGTCTCATTTTACCAGCAAAATCGAACCCTTATCAATGTACATGTATATAATTTATGAAGTATCATATGTTGTATCTACTGGAATCTTTTCTGGATGCACCGCGTAGTGGCGTACTTGTACTTCAAGGAGCAGAAAAAAATCCTCCGAGGCAAAGTAGTACCTATGTGTTATCTACGTACACGTTAACCTATGTGATTTATTGGACAGTAAACATTAAAACAATAAAAAAACATAACGAAGACAGTTAAAAGTGGAAATGAAACAGTGTGTGCAGTGTTTGTAAGTGCTTGTGGTTCGTGGTTCCCCGATATACCTTCTTATAGGTACTGCAGCTAGCCTACTGGCCATCGTGCACACACTAAGCGAATTACTGTAAGTGCTATACATAATCCACCGTCTGGCTTTGTTCATCGCGAATGATTTTTTTCATTTTTTTCTTATTTATTTTTGCACGCTCAGTCTTACAATACCACATATCAGTCACTGATTTAATAACACATCATTACTGTTATTCTTAGTCAAAGATTAAACAATAGAAAAAAAAACCTTATAAAAATAAAAATTTTGTATCTACGTATCATCTCATTAGTTTTGATTCTTTGCATTCATTATTATTGTTANTTTTTTTTTTTTTTTTTTTTTTTTTTTTTTTTTTTTTTTTTTTTTTTTTTTTTTAAATCATACCATACTTAGTTTCACACTATATGACACTTTTTTGTGAGTTTCTCAATCATCAGTTATACACATTATTTTAATAAGCCTATCCATAACTCGTGGGAGTAAGTAATATAATAGTCGCATAAATGTTGACAGACACTATAAGGGAATGCGACTACTTTGTTTTTTATTTTTTTTTTTATTTTCCTCCTCTACATATTTTTATTACCTTGTTACACAAGCGAGATGTCCATTTTCCGTGTAGTCGATAGGGTTGTGAAAATTTCACCCTCGACAAGTAAACGTTGTTCGTGCATCGATCGCGCGTGATTAATACAATCAATGGGAGGGAAAAAAATAGTGTAAATTATATAGTCAGTCCTATCTTGGCAGGAACTTCATTCTTTGTTTCTTCCGAGCTGCTTCTTGCCTCTCCCCCTCTCTTATGTTTCGCTTGAAACTTCTGTGCAATACACACACACATATATATATATATATATATCCGTATACAAGAGTGGTCGGAGGCACGGGAGGAGTACATGCAGTCATTGCAGGAAGCAGAGCACACACACACACATATATATATATATATATATATACACACACACAGGAAAGAGAAAAGGACTCGAAAAAGAGAGTCAAGAGAAGGAGAGCACAGGATCGACGAAGAGTCCATGGAAGAAGAGGGAGAGCATGCATCAGGTATAGGGGCAAACTGCAGAATCTTTCTCTCTCCTGGTGCACGTGAGCTGTGCATAAAACCTGCAGGAGAAAAGGAGGAGAGAGCGTGTATAGGTAGAGAGAAAGAGATTATCTCGTGAAGTAGACGTTGCGTTGCAACAACCGAGCCGGGAGTCACGATTCTTTCTTCATCTCTTTTCCTCTTACGGGGGCGAGGGTGAGCAAGTTATGCCAACGCAGAAAGGACTCTATACATATATATATATATATATATATATACGTATTTCACCGGCTACTCTGTTCTCTTTTGCCAAGAGATACGTGTGTGTATACATATAATATATGGAGAGGACGATGCATCCATGTGCGTCTCCTTGTAACAGCCTCTGTCTGTATACATGTCTACTCCCTTTGTAAGTACACTCTATGTATATAAACGTAACACAGCTGTGCCCCGTTCCGGTGTTGTGTACCTACAGCGTGTGTGTGTGTGTATGCGTGCGCGCGCGCGAACGAGGAAAGGCTTTAAGATTGATCTGGAAGATACAGCGATGCTGCCGGTGCCGAGGGGATCCCAAGGCGTCCCGTCGTCTATTGTTTTATCGTTGTTGCTGTTGTTGTTTTTTTTTTTTTTTTTTTTTTTTTTTTTTTTTTTTTTTTTTTTTTTTT